TGTACCAATTGCTATACATTATTTATGAAACTGGATCCAATAACTAGACACTATTTATGAAACATGATCAAGAACTAGACACTATTTATAAAAGTGGACAAAAAACTAGGCTCTATTTATGAATTGGACCAACAAATAATATAGTACCGTTCAGTTTCATAAATAATGTTCATTTTTATAAACAATGTACATGTCCTTCGCTTTAGGTTTTTTTTTTGTTTTATTTTAAATCGTGTCATTTTCATTAAAATTTAAGTTTTTTTGTCATTCTTATTACAATTTAAAGGTTTTTCATTAAAATTCAATTCTTTTTTATTAAATAAAGTTATAGTATGATTTTTTTGTTAAAATAAACTTAGCCCAGGTTATTTCGATGAAAGTTCACTAGATAAAAAGCAAGCCCACTTAAGTGACCTCACCGGAAGCACGTGAGGTCACCCACAAGCTAATGTCTGCTCCATCAAGTTCTCGCGTAACCGGAGTCACGGTGGTTACAAGGCACTGACAGAGACAGAGCAGAAGCCAACATCAGTAGCTGCCTCCCCTCAACTAAACCGCCGGGGTTCCTCTGCCGGCAGAAAACCCGAAAAAACCACCCCAACCCAATTCTCCGCCGTCTTCAATTTCGCAACCAGCCACCTCAAATCTCCAATTCCGGCGCCGAGCATAACGTATCTGCGATTTTCTTATCCGGGTATTTTTCAGATTTGTCCATAAAGTATTGGAATTTAAATCAGGACCCATCGGAATTCACGTAGAGGAGGATGAGAACCGCCGCGAAAGGCAACCAGGAGGAGGATGAGTACGACGAGGAGGAGTTTGGCTCCAGGAAAGAAGGTCCTTCTTCCAATTCCAACAGCAAAGGTGACATATTTATAACCACCTTGTTTTCGATCATGGTTATCTCGAATTTGTAGATCCAACGTTATAATTTGAGGATTTACTACATTGGCAATTGTAATGTTCTTTGTTTGATTGGAATTTGAGTACGAAATATTTCACCTTTACTGTTTTTAGCTATGTCTTTCCCTTTGATTTTATGGGTGTTTTGAGAGAAGCATGCATTTCTGTTTTCTAATTTGGAATTCTGGATTTTGTACATGGAAACTAGATGCCAAGAACAACGATAAGGCTAGTGCTATTCGATCGAAACATTCAGTCACAGAGCAGAGGAGGAGGAGCAAGATCAATGAGAGGTAAGCTTTATGTGCATCTGTTATTCAGCAAATGCGCATTTCGAAATTTACTTTGGCAAATTGGTTCGAAACAGAAAGGGCAGGGGAGTTTATTCGTAGGACATTGCGCACTATTTACCTATTGGATTGGTGTTATTAGTTTGACAGTGCTTTTGATGTTTGTACGGATGGTACTTTAGCAGCTGATTAGTTGATGATGGTGCTAGTTTAGCCAATTACTTGTCGCCTTGCGAATATAACTTATTCTGTTGAAACAAGTCCTTTACTTGATTAGTTCATCTTCTTTAGGGTAGATAAAGTTTGAAGTTTCCATGGTTTTCATTTAACCATCGGTCACATGGTCGTTACATCATAGATGTTGAAGCTCTGGTGTTACGGTTGGTAAGCCATGGCATTAGGTGTTGCTTTTACAAGAAAAGTGTAATTGGTTTAGTCAGTTGTCAATTTACTTGTCAATAGAGCTTGAGGGAGCTTAAATTTTTGTTTCAGATTCCAGATATTGAGAGATCTAATACCCAATAGTGATCAGAAAAGAGATACAGCATCATTCCTGCTAGAGGTATGTTCTGTAAATGCGGATAACTGTGTAAGTTGTCAAACTTATTTTGAAAGCACTTTGTAAGCTTACTTGGTTATTTCTCATTTTTTTTGCAGGTGATCGAGTATGTCCAGTACTTACAGGAAAAAGTCCACAAATATGAAGGTTCATACCAGGGTTGGAGTCCTGAGCCCGCAAAGTTAATGCCATGGGTAATGTACTGAATCTTGGGTACTTATATAGTCCGGGTGTAAGGTACTATGTTCACCTGAAAGCACAAAGGCAGTTGTTAAATAGCTGTATATGTGCATACTTGAGAAATAGGGTTGATCTATGCAATACTGCGGAGCATCTGACTGCTTACCGTCCTGCATAAAGCACACTATAATTCCTTTCAAGAGTATATAATCATTTATGCCCCTACTTGGTCTAAGAAGTTTTGGCAACCTTTTTCCTTTTTGGAATTGTTATTGGTTGCATAAAAAGTTTATTAATTGGGTAATTATGGGATGGACTCGATTGTTGTTACGGTGGAATCGTATTAAAGTTAAACTGCTACAATTTATGTTTTCTGGTGGATAAAGACAATGACCGTAGCTTCTGAATATGACAGTTTCTTGTCAAAGATACTTTTGGATCTAACATTTACCCCCTTCATGAAACAGAGAAACAGTCACTGGCGTGTTCAGAGTTTTGTTGGTAATCCTCAGGCCATAAAGAGTGACACTGCACCAGTGTCACCATTTCCTGGAAAATTTGATGAAAATAACATCTCTATCAATCCGAACATGCTGGGAAACAGCACACCGAATCCAGTAGAATCTGACCCTAGCAGGGATGTTGCCTCCAAAATAGTGGATCGGCAGCCTGAGATAGTGAACAAGGGGATTCCTCAGCCTATGCCTCTACCAAACATTACTCCCCCGGTCAGAAGTGATGGTGTGCTTGCCCATCCCCTGCAGGGACAAATTTCTGATGCTCAATCAACTCAGTGTCCCACCACTAGTGCTAGTGATGCACTGAGCCAACACGAGGGGCTGACAGTTGAAGGAGGAACAATAAGCATCTCAAGTGTTTATTCACAAGGGTGAGTACTCAAACTATATTTATAGAACCACCACTTTGAGAAACATCGGAATTAGAACATACTATGAGTCTCATTTAACTTTTGGAAATATTTGCCATACTACGTTTTGCTTTGATCCATTTACTATTGTGACTCCGGACCTTATTATTGATCACATTTGCTTAAGTTGTTTGTATATTATCTTAGTGATACAGTGTACGTCATGCATTTTCTTGATCAGTTTCTTTGCTTCTGAGTTCTAACTGCCCAATTTATGAACAGGTTATTAAACTCTCTGAGCCAAGTGCTGCAGACTGCAGGTGTTGATCTGTCGCAGGCTAGTATCTCAGTGCAGATTGATCTTGGGAATCGTGCGAACCGAGGGCTGTCCTCTGGAACACCTGCTTCTAAGGTATATGTTGGGTATTGATGACCTGGAATAGTATAAGTGGTTCCATTTATTTGCTTTTCTTTCAACTGCCTGACCACTCTCTCCGTTAACCATCTTTCTAAACCATGCGGGTCTGTTTATTTCAAATTACAACAGTCCTTCCATCCATTCCTATGGATTTGTCAACCTGTATAGTTACGCTACAAGGGACTGTGCAAAGGTTTTTCACTCGTTCTCACAGACAGGAAAGATAAAGTCTCAAAATTTTTATTGCTTTCCAGGATAATGAGAATCCCCATTCAAGCAATCAGACGATGGCGCATTTTAGGGACGCTGGCAGTGGAGAGGACTCCGATCAAGCTCATAAGCGCCTCAAGACATAAAACTAGTGTGGAATCTCCTTATTCTCCGCCGTCACCCATATTTTCACTCCTTTATTCTGCTTTGGGATGTCTTAGTGTCCATCTTCTGGTTAGTGTACATGCAGTGCCTTGGTTTTTTCCTCTACATATTTCATTGAACACATGTTGAGAACAATTTCCCTCGGTTATAGATTTCTTTGAGGAAGGAACCCGTGTTAGGAGATGCCGTCACCCATATTTTAGTTTTATCGTACATAATTGTTTCGAATGTAACAATTGGAGCCATTCAGGTGCCATTTCGTGGTAATAAAGTTGTTAGTTCGTGTCTCGAGGATTATTTGTTGGGTAATGCTAGAGAGATCAATTTTTTTTAAAACCTAATTTACCAACCAAATGATATTGTTGTAGATAATTGAATTACTAATTGTCGATTAACGTGCTTGTTTCTTATTGGGGACACGTCATTTGGTGTACAAATGAAGTTTAAAATTATGTTCTTCCTAGCATTATCCTTATTTGTTTAGGGCAAACATTGGCATGCTTGCATCAGTGGCAAGGATCATTCAGTCTCGACGGACTGCATGGTGGAACATCACAAAACCCTAATCTTCTCCTATCTTCAAATTTCAAAGAAAATATAAATAAAAGAAAAGTTATTTTACATTTAGTGATGCTGGCTAGGGAAGTGGAATCCAAGGTACATACCAACCACGCTACCCAATTTTTGGGTAGGGGTGTCTACGTCGTTCGTTGAGCAACTTTTGGGCACCTTTTTATAATAATATGATACTTCTTATATTTTGGTCCGACACTGATCTCACGGTGTGAAAGCTACACTAATAAGACATGTTCACCAGAGTTTATCTCCGCTATATCACAGACCTTTTGGTTTTTAAACAATTTGTGGCAAACATTCCTGGGGATTGCCGTAGAAATATTCTTCTTCCTTAGGCTTGCCGGGAATCTCCAATCTTGGAGCTGGGCTTCCCATGCGATCAGCATGCACCGTCAATGCTAATGTGCCAAATTTCATGATTGAAAACAAAGAGTAATGGGGTTTAGTAAAATCGTTTTAGTGCATTTAACAAAAGTTGTGGGATAATTTTTTTATAGGGAGGGGAAATCGAACTTGGATACATGGCGACACATTGTCCTAGTTAACTCATTTTTTCTTTTTAAAAGGTGATCAGCTGGTAGGTTCGCCATAACAATCCACCATTTCGAATGCTGGGAAGACTCGCAAACAGATGCTTTATAGCCTCATCTTGGTCACCATCATGTGATTCATCAGTACTAGAAATCGAACATACAACGTGCCATGTGAAATAGGAGTTTGAAGTTCGTCCCCAACCACCAAGCCACTCCATGGTGGTTTGTCCTAGCTAATTTGACTATGCTAAGATGTGCTGACAAAGGATCTGTGATTTCATCTTTAACCTCGGGCATGTGAATCTAAATATTTTGAGCAAATTAAGGGCACCTTATTTCAGCCTTGAATATTTGGATTATCGCCACCTTTCCAGCTTACTGTACTTTACATGGATATGGTACAAAACAAGTAAAACGTGTCATATGACATTTGAGAGAGAGATAACACAACTCGTAATAGGTCCCTATCGTCAAATAATTTCAACCTGAAGAAAATTGGAAGGTGTATGACCATCCATCAAGAACTTCAGTAAATATTCACCGTTTTTGTTACTGTAAGCCAAATTATCTTTCATGTAACAGTTCTCGACTCCTTGGATTTGGAAACTAGGTTCAACGTTAATCTCCTTTAAAGACATGGTATGCTCCGGTCACCAAGAAAATGGTGAATACCTTAACTGAGATAAGCTTATCACTCTATCTTTAACGAAAACTTTCGATCAGTCCCTTTACCGCAGACAAGAAGCCAATGGGTCAATATTGCAAAGAGGCGAAAATGGAGGAGAGATACGAGGAGGATTGCACGAAAATTCCCTGAAGTTACAGTACTTGATCAGAAATGCTCTCATTGTCTGCAGATGTTAGTGAGTCTTGAACTAACTCAAACCCTCAGCAAAATACTGCCTGCCTAGTAAATTCCATCCCCTCGAGAGCTCAATCACATAGAGCGCGCGATAGAATTGCAGGAAGAAAACGTTCACACTCTTCACCAGGGAATCCAGCCAGTCCCTTTGACTTCCTCTGAGACCACTGCCCATTGCACCGCATATCTTATTTTTCGATCTTCAGCAACCCCATAGCTTTGAATAGAAATGCATAATCATAAGCAGCTTCCTCACATAGAGCATACCGTCCCCCTTCGCCAAAATGTCCTCCAGCCATATTTGTCTTCAGAATGACTGAACGTGAACAACAAGAACATGTACTCTCTCGAACTTTGGCCACCCACTTGGCGGCTTCCCAAAACCCAACCCTGAGAAATGGATGTTAAATGCAACCAGAGTAAGTATATGGAATGTGTGTGTGCCTGGATTTGTTACTGCATGTAACTAGGATAACAAAAGGCACAAGATGAATATACCTTGAGTCATGAAGGGACGCTGTAACAAGCATTGAAGGGTAGCAACTGCCTTGAGAAATGTTATCATATGGTGAATAAGTGAAGATAAGCTCAAATTCAGACTGTATCTGAGGATTGCCGAATTCTTCATAATCCAGAATGGTGAGAGGCAAACTAGGATCCATTAAAGTGTTGCATATATCAAGGAATGGAACCTGACAAAAATATCACCCAAACATCAGTACCAAGAATGTAATACAAAGGTAAACATAATGCACTTCTTTTCTACTATAAAAGAAAAAAGATAACTAGAACTACTGAAGTGCTGATGGACGGGAGTCCAAGTTCATCAAATCAGAATAACAAAAAGAAGAGACTGGTTGTTGGCTTTAAAAACTAACCTTCAAAATAGAAGCTCGAAAGAGATCTGGGTACATATTGATAGTTGCTCCAACAAGAAGGCCTCCAGCACTATGTCCAATAGCACCAAGCCGATCTTTATGTACGTATCCCTCTTCAATCAAGTAGTTTCCACATGATACAAAATCATATATTGAATTCAATTTATTAAACCTAGTGCCAGATTTATGCCACGAAGAATCTGCACCACCACCACCCCTGCCCACACAACCACATCGAGTTATTTAACAGGAAAACAAAAAGGATTCACAAGTTAAACAGCACATTTGGTCCAGCTAAGAAAGTAGAATCACTTTCAAAAACATATATAATTTTGAAATGACTAAAATTAAATCATCACAACTATTTACGTGATATCATGTAGCTTTGTTGTCCGGTTATAATTCATTTGAAACAAAAGAAAAGAAAAGGAGACCAACCTCACATCAGCAAATGCCACGACCCATCCCCGATCAAGTAAACACAGGTGCTCTGCACACCAGCTTTTATCTAAAACCTCCCCATATGCTCCATAGCCTTTCAGAAGGCCAGGCGACTGACCCTTATCCCAGGCTGTATGAGAGTACAATATGGTCAACGGAACTCTAACACCATCATGGGAGATAACCTCCTTCCTCACACAGCAGTATTCATCAGAATACTCCTTCCATCTCTGTGATTCACTTATCTGGACATCCTCCTGATATTGTGAGCCAAAATTTTTATTCAAATCGAGCTGATTAGTTGGTGGGAATGTTCTATCATAAAAATCCCTCACTTCCTCTTGTTGCACAATTGAGAATCTCCTGCTCGACATGTCGTAGTCAACAACTACATCAGGCATCTGCAAGTTAAAAAAAAGGACAAAGAATCAAACGAACAAGAATGTCAAACTAAAGTGTATAAGTTATTAAACTCTAAAATCAAGCTTAAAAAGTATACCACTGGAGATGAAAGCACTGCACGGTATACTGAGTTATGGAAATCATGGTTTGAACCTGGAACAACATTACATAAGTTTGAGGGCATAGCGAAAAACCATGGATCAAGATCTTCAATCTCCAATTGGTGCTGGAATCAAGTCAATAAAAGTAGCAGATTAACGACAAATACTTTGTATGTGGAAGAGATAAAGGTTAACTCTATCAATGTAACATTTTATTTTTAAGTTTTTCATAAGGATTTGACGTAAACTAGGAGTGCCGGCTGTCGACTATCTGACGCCCTCCCCCTCCTCCTTTATCTGGGCTTGGGACCGGCAATGTAAGATAAACTTACACAGGCGGAATGGCGTTCTAGGATTCATATAGCTGACCCCACTTAGTTGGAAAAGGCTTTGTTGTTGTTGTTATTGTTGTTGTTGTGTTCATAACCAAAAATGTAACTAAGCAGATAGATAAATACCTTCCAATCAACAAGGACAGGCAAATTAATGGAACACAACACAGAAAAACCCTTCTTGCTGAGAGAAAGGACCAGATGTCCGTCAAACATGTCCATATCTTGTATGCTTAAATCTTCATTTGGAAGGATTATATTCTACAAAAAGAAAAAAGTATGTCAAATGAGAAAAAGGACTCGAAAACATAAATGAGGTTCAGTAGTGAAGAACTCGAAGTACAGATAACATCAGGAAATAGAGAACACCAAGTGTCTGTACTAAGATTCATGAGTAAGAAGAAACTTGACCTGCCAATTAGATGTTGGTAGATCTTCACCCCGGCAGCTAGCTAGGTAATAACCTTCACCAGACCACACCTTATTTTCACTCAAAGGAGCATTTGTAAGAACATAAAATAATCCATGGTGATGTTCAAGAAAATACTGTACACCAGAGACACGCTTCCAAATTCTCTGCAAACCATCTAATGGGTTGGCAGCATCTATCAAATAAACCTGTAAGTTCAGCCACAGAAGTTAGCCTCACCCAAGGAAAATACTTTCAAAGGAAATATCTGCAAAACAATGAAACAGTAAAGTTCCTTCCTCAGAAGAAGTCCTTGAGTTTGAATTGACAGTTATAAACTTGCCATCCTTTGTGCTTGTTATGTCCACACAGAAGCTGGAATTGCTTTCTGTAAATACAGTGATATTTTCAATATCATCAGATCCTAGTTTTGAGCAGCATACTCTGCCAAAACACAAATAGGTAAGATGATATTATCGTCTCGACAGAAAAAGCCATAAGTAACAGAAATAAAGTATGCCTGTAAGGTCGTTGGTTCTCGTCTGATAGCGTATAGAACAGAGTACTCCCATCTTGAGCCCATGCCAAGCTAACAACACCATCCACTCGTACTTTGGGGATAACACATCCACTTCTTAGGTCCTTAATTTGAAGCCTGAACTGTTCATCACCCTTAGTGTCTACTGTGTACGCTAGAAAATGGTGATCTGGTGAAATTCGACATGTGCCAACATGCACATAACCTACAATTAAAGTACATAATTCAGTAATCACGAATACGAAAAGAAGATACCAGGATTAACAACAAAGAAAATGAGGCTATCAACCAACTAGAGCGTAGAATTCAGCAACTATCGACAATGAAAGCATGCAAGTAAAGACAGAAGCTTTCCATATCGCCTTGCAATTTCATTCCAGTCGAGCAAAATCTCCTCCAATCCAAATCCTCCTCTTGCGTATCGGAGAAAGTTCTTAACCCAATCACCTTTTTCAGTTCCTAATCGTCTACAAAGAACCGGGTATTCCATCCCCTCTGGAATGTATTGGTAATACAACCTGCTCAATTTTAACAAACGACATTGGTAAGTTATTTTTAATGTGTATTCCTTTCAAAAGTTGTAGGCTTTTCTTATCATTACACAATGCGGAATCACAAACTTCACTGAAGAACTAAAAACGAAATAGCTATCAAACGAGCCCTAATAACAACGACGAAAAACAGCAATTTCAAATTCACAAACTGCAGCAAACACAAAGAATGCAAATTTTTTGAAAAATACGAAATGGGTAAGGCGGGAAATGGGCAAACCAGGGTCCCCAACGCTCAGGAGGAGTGGAAATCTTGGCGGGCATTCGGCTTTTCATTTCGGAGAAGAGAGTGCGCTGCAGATTTTGAGTGTCGGCCATGAAAGCCTCAGCATATGAGTTTTCTTTGTTGAGATGATCGGCGAGATCAGGGTCGTCGGTGTTGGACATCCAGCGGTAGGGGTCCTGCCACGTTTTTCCATGAGCTGAGACAGCGAAAGGGACTTTCTTGGGGACTGGCGGCGGCGGAGAGGGTTGTGGGGGCGGTGTGGTGGGGTGGGCTCTGCAGAGAGTGGAGAAGGAGGAGGATATGTTGGGGAATATGAGAAAAGAGAGGGTTAAAGAGGAGCCTTTGATTGAGCTTGAGCAGTGGGGTTTAAGGATGGAAGAAAGAAGAGCCATGAAAGCTTAACTGGAAATGGAGGAAGCTCAGAGAGGTAACAACTTCTGCCGGGAAGTAATTAGAATCTTATAACCCCCACTGACCCTATTACTATTTTATTGCTTTTTAGCCATATGTTCATTATATGAAAAATCTCTATTAAGTTGATAGTATTTTTGTCGAACTAACTCCTTCATTTGAATTGATGCTTTCTTCCATTTACCGGAGATTTTTCACTAAAGACCAAAATGATTGACGATGGATAATCTCACAACCACTTGTATGATTAAAAATGAACCAAAATGATTGATGGTGGACAATCTCAAGACCAATGTCAGGAACCAAAATGAGGAATCTCAATTACTCTTTTGGTTAAAGAGCCCTGTTTATTTTATTTTCATAAAACATTTGATTCGAATACAAACGGATTCAAACTTGGAATTCATTCACTCCTCTGACAAAAATGACAATTGATCTAACTCACATCTGCAACATTCTACTATTTTATAGTCCCGTTATTACAAAATAAAAAATCTGAGATAAATGTGACCAAAACCATGCAATAAGTCAATCATAATAATCAATTATCGAACTCTCCGTCCAAGTGAATCTAGCTTGAGACCTAATTATAAGTCGAGATAAATGCCATACAAGATAATGCTATTAGCATTATAGCATAAAAGAAATAGATAGAGACCATTACAAACATAATCTCCTCTTACAGTCGAAATATATATGTAACATAATCAGGTGATATGTACAAGAAAAAGCAATCGGGTCGACCCATTTGCAGACAAATGGGTACCAATATCCGTCACCGTCTACGGCAAATATAACAAATGAATGACTTCAAATGGCGTCCCACTTCAAGTTTTACAAAGTAATCAACTCTACAACTAAAAAATGAAAAAATTGTGAGACAGAAATACCGCCCGACGTCTTTCGCCTCGGTTTTACTTTGATCTATTTGTTACAGTCTTACAGAAGCTAGTTTTGCTTTCTCCTTCATAATGCCATAGTAGCAATTTCATTCTGTTGCGGTTGTCATTTCTTCGCATGCTTCTCATCTTCAACATCCTGTAAGTTTCCATTAAAATGGCACAAATCATTTGCACGGTACTCTACTTATGGAAAGTTTATAAATAGTTGGTCAAACTAAGCGGGAGGTTTCGTGATAATGTAAAAAACTGACCCCAAAAGATGTAAGATGCAATACAACATAGAATTCAAAAAACCGCAAAGAAAGAAGTGTCATAGCTGAACCAATGGGATAAATGAAGCTTACCGAATTGCCAATCTTGTCAAAATCATCATCAAAGCTCCCATCACCATCATCACCATCATCTGAAAGTACAAAATTGTCAACAAACGGAAGAGTAAATTGCACAAGGAAAATCCTAGAAAACGAGGAGATTGTCTCAACAAAAAACTACAAAGGAACTATGGAAGGGTATGACTCTTATGACTAGTAAGGATTTGTTCACAACACAGCTTCCCGGGGTACAGATAGACTTTTATCAAAGTACATTGGTGATGAATAAAAAATAATTCTCTCACAAGAATAAAACCAACTTACTATATTGAGGTGAAATATGAAAAATGTGCATCAGTTTTTCATTAAGCATTTCAATCTGTCGGGTTCTGTTTCATGAAATCATTCCTATTAAATGCTTGGGAATTGGGAGTATACAATTTCTAGTTACCATGCCTGCCACCTGCTTGTGTGCCTTCATATTGTGCAGATGTAAGACACACAGAACTCTAACCCCCTACAACCTCTCTTTTGGCCATTACATACCGGTTCAGCGATTTCAACTTCTTAATTGAATAATGACTAAATATAAATAGATATGTGAGTTTAGAGTAATAAGTTGAAAGGTATTAGCATCCTTTAACTTAAAGATGGTGGGAAAGCTCATAGCAGGCATGGCTTGCAAAATCGTACACAGGCTACGAGTGAAAAGGTAAAGGAACTATACCTGGACCCCCATCACTGTCTTCAAGATCACCCAAAAGAAAACTATCCAAGTCCTGCTCAGTTGACGATGATTTGGAAACTAAAGGCTTTGTGTTCTTTTCAGATCCTTCTGCTTTGTCAGTCACTCCAACAACAGGTGTTGGCTTCACAATATCATCTTTTAGTTTCTCTGCTTCCTTGACCTTCAATTCCTCCATGTATTGCTTCTCATATCTGATCATAAGTTCATAGTTAGTCACCCATGGAAAAGACTACAAACTGAGACTAAAATTTTCCAAAATCCAGAGCCCTCCCCATAACAAATAAGGTATTTTTAAGCTCTAAACACCCAATAAAAAGTATCTAGATCTATCTATTAAGCTTCCTCTTTTTTAAACATCTTTAAACTTTTCGTGAACAACAGAGTCACAAGTTCGCAACACATGACTATGTCTTACACTAAAACAAGATGACTGCTCGTCTCTTGTTTAAAATTATAATGAGAAAACACACACAATTGCATCAAATTTTCAATAATACTATTGCTCAATTTAAGAACCGCTTAACCAAAATGAACTGCTACTTACGGCGCCACATGACTGCTCACAAGGGTAAAGTATATCTTCCAGAATATTCTTTCTTTCATAACACGCGGGCATAATTCATATCTCAGCCTTGAAATTTCCTACAAGAAAATCAGTATTCTCACGAAGATTTCGACAAGTCCGTAACGGTATCAATACAAACTTAACACATTTCTTCATCAAATTGAGCAATAAATCGGCGAATCAAATTTCGAAATACAGCTAAGATGGATTGCATTGAACTTAACACTATGTTTGTGTTGCGCTGTATCAGAATTGAATCAGATAGCGAAAATACATGAAATCTTACTTTATTGCCACCTCAAAGATGGTCTCTTTAGCATTTTCCACATTACAAAACTGACCTTAACAGTAGTGAGCACCAAAGTTGCATGTCGCTCCTGCCACTCCGTCAGATCCTTCCTCACATTCGAGGTCGTGGTCGGCACATCGGAGACCTCCGCCGCCGCATCTGAAACAACTCAGAACAACGCACATTCGCTCAATTCAAAGCAATTCAACTGAAATCAACAAACAAACGAACTGAAATCGGCCAATACCCTGGACCGGAAAATGCTTGAAGGTGTCGGAAGTGAGTCCCTTGACAAAATCTCTGAGATCGTCGGTGACACCGAACTTCCTGAGCTCAGACGGCGAGGGCGGCTCAGGGGCGGAGGACGCGGAGGCGGAGTTGACGATCGAGAGCGAGGCGAGCTGGGGAGGAATGATCTCGGAGACGGAGAGGGACTTGATCTGATCGGCCTGCTTGAGCGCGGCCGTCTTGATCTCGTCGGCCTTCTTCGACGCCTCGGCGGCGAACTCGCGGGATCGCTTGGCGGTTTCGGAGACCAGGTCGGTGATCTTGGCGGAGGCGGTTAGGGTTTGGGACTTCTTGGCCGCTTCTTCGGCGAAGGTCCTGGCTCGCTTCCACAAGTCTTCCATCGTCGTTTGATATCTCCTTTGCCGTTTGGATGTTGATTGGAGAATTATTATCTCCTTTATTTGTTTCGTCCCAGCGTTTAGCTAGTAGCAACTGTGTTTCTCAAGATTTGCCACCCCCCCGAGGTGCTCGAGCGCTACGACGTCGCTTTGGTGGCGCGGCTAATAAACGCCCGTCGTTAACTACCATAAAATCAACCGACCTGTCGTTTTCTTTTGAAAGTGAATGAATTTGAATGACTTTTTTTCCACAGATGAACACGTTTTTACTTTTTATACATCTCTTTTTAATTTTTGTCCTTTATATTTTTCAATTCGTTTAATTCAATGGTCAAAAATTGAGAAGAATGTGTGGAAGGTAGAATATGGTGTGTAGATGGTACCACCAGATAAAAATTGTTTTTTCATTAATATAGTGAATGCGCACATAAAATATCTATTTTCTCACGTACCGCTCTGATTTTGAGCATGATTTGGCTAGTTCAGGTTTGTTATGCAATTCGGATCTAGTCTTCTTTTGAGCAAGCTCTTTTTTATTGTCGTCGGTTGCTAATTGCAGATATAGATGGGTCTCTTAACCTTGTGATATTCTTATATATTCTTTTCTTTTCTTTCAAACTTATGCCTCGTTGTCAACAAAAAAAAAATATTCAAAGATCAGGGAATGCCTTGACTTCCCTCTTTAGTGTAAATTGATATTCAAAGTTGTTTTGTTGAAGGTTTTCAACCTTATTGTTTCATCGAGATGTACTTTTCCGATCGATCTCTTTCTTTGAAATACACACGCTTATTTCTTTCATTCACAAACAAAATTGTGTGATTCGACTCATTGGGGTGGTTTAAAGAATGACTTAAGTTGATATAAAATATGTGCCAACTCTCAACAACCTTCACTTCGATTGGAATAATCTATGACTATGGAAGCAAAATTCAAATTTGAAGACGTGTGTCAACGTTAAAAAATAGGGGGTTAACAAAGATTAGTATTGTTGGTTTTGGTGGGTTCGGGATTAAAACTGTAATAACTTAACAACAAGGATTAAGCGGTTTGCCTCTCAAAATTGGGCTACGTCCACTGTAGTGCTCATACATATATATATATATATATATATTCAAAATTGGTTACAAGGAGTCGTCGGTAGTAGTCTAATCTTTTTTTCTCTCTCTTGTATCTGGCCACTTGTAAGAGGTAATCACCCCCTTTATATATGCCCTCATCGAGCATCAAAAGTCCCAGACTCAAGGACTTCACCCCCTTCGCATTTAATGAACCAAGTACGTAGACATGACTTGCTAACTACTCTCCTACACTCCCTAGCGACACATGGTAACAAAGTGACATTGGTTCATGTCTAAATGCATGCTTTCTTGGGCCAACTCTTTCCGAGTGCCTTACCGTAGTGCTATAAAATTGTCAATTTGCCAACTTACCGAAAAGTACTCTATGAGGAAATGCTCGACCTCTTTGCTAACAAACTAGGCCATTGAACGGTTGTCCGTGGCGCTCATTACAGCCGCATCCCAGATTACATGTTATAGCCATACAAAGCCCAAGACGCTCAATCTCCCATGCAAATTTCCTTATGATATTCACACGCCATTTTTCTCTTTCTACAAGTTTTTGTCGGAGCTGCAATTTGTAGTTCTATTAGGCCTTGGTCTCTTTTTTTAACTTTGGATATTGGTCATTTTATTCTTCTTTAGGCATTTATTAGGCCTTTCTCAGGCCTGTACATTTTAATAGTCGAAAGGACCTTAACAACGTGCTTTGCAGTATATTGGGTCAAAGTATTGGAATCATGGATTCTTTTTTGTTTTTTTTTTTGGACAACGGAATCATGGATCTTTGGCACCTTTCAAAGCTGAAACTAGAAACACATGTATATATAATTCATTCGATTAAGAAGCTAGCTTAATTAACGGGAAGAGATCCAGAAATCTCTTCCACCAAATTCAGTAATTTTGATTTTTGAAATTTGATCAAACCGTTAAAAATAAGGGTTTTTTTTTTTAAAATTATAATAACTTTAGCCGTTAGATTAAATTTTAATGACCCAGATTACTGGGTTTAATGGACTTGGTGGAAGACGTCTGGAGATGATCTCTTCCCTTGATTAACTAGTTGACAATTGTACGGAACTATTGCCATAGAGTCTACCAAGGATGCTGTTCCACCCACTTCTGCGCTACATAACAAAACTTGCTTACCATAATCAAGCATAAGCACACAAATCAATGTTGGTTTCTAACTAAGAGAAATGCTAAAGGGATTGTCTCAAAAGTGAAATTTTTTATGAATTCTGTGTCACATCATAGTTTAATGTCAATTCTCATATCAACACTATAAAATCATTGTGTTAAAAGCATGGTATGATAGAGAGTCTATGAAGAGTTCTACTTTTGAAATAACCTCCTTAGCATTTCTCTCGAACTAATTGTCTTATACAAATATATATATATATATATATATATATTTTATTCACACAATGCAATATTTTAAACTACTTTAAACTATTGAGAGAGCAAGAGAGCTATCCAAGTCGAAACAAACAAAAATATTATTCCTATCATCTATTTATACTAGCATTTGTATCATCTTTCTGATAGAAATGAGACTCACATGTGTTTGCGAGTTCTATCTCTATTAGAGAGATGATACAAGTGATTGTACAAATATATGATAAATGTATCACTATTCCGAAACAAAAGACCAAAAACATTGTTTTGATCAACTAACTTTAACCCGCAAAGATATGCAATATAAATAAATACTTAACTATAATATATAGTTTGCAATTCCTGTGAGAGCATGTTACCAAATGTTGGGGTTTGTAGCCCTCATTTGACTACTCCAAAGACCTACCAACTCCACAAAAACAACATTAATAATTTAATTTGGGGACCTCATCCTAGTTAGCAACAAATCTTGGGTTTTGCTCCTTAATGTCGGCCACAAGAGATGCTTAAAAAAACACACACTCCTCATTTTCCTCCCTAATTACAAACCCTAGCATTAACGTATCCAAAGTGTTTTGTTCTAATTTCTATCAGTATCTGTCCACGGCAACAGGCAACAGGCAACAGGCATGCATGTTTCATGGAGAAACTGCAGGGAAGGAGTTGTGTATGGGACTTCGTCGTCTTACACTCTGATAATCCATTGTGAAGAACTCTGGCGTGTCCTCCTTCTCCATCCGTTCCTGCCTTGTTTCTGCTGATCTGCTTCTTTCCACTACCTGCACTTTTTCATCTTCTTCTTTCTGGGTTCTTGGCTTCTTACCACCTGAAAAGTCAATGACAGTAAGTACTTAATATTTTACTCAAAAACATGTCTAGATATGATACATGACAGAGGTCATTGACTACCTTAGATTCTTACTTGGAAAAATTAAATATTCATACTAGCAAGTTGCAACTAAGAGCCTTCTACATGCTCTTGTCTATTTTTGTCCGTTGATCTTTTTACTTCTTTGAGGCGAAAGGTCATAAATAAACATGAGTGTGCATAAAAAAGAAGACTGTGAAAATGATTTCCACGCAACTAAATACTTCAGTATTAAGTTGAGGAGAGAATAAATTTGAAAATTTGAAATCAGTTGCTACATGAACACTACTCGGCTCCTTACACCTCCTATTCTATGAATTACAGTATGACCAATATGCAAAAGTATTATTAACTACAAAACGAAAAGTCTCTGCACACATCATATTATGATTTATCACGGAAGAATGAAACCTTACATGTATAGAACTAAGTATTTCCTTACTACATGCACGTTTGTCAAATTTGGAACTGTTTGAACAAAAGAAAAAACTAGCTACAATTGATGTTTGCCAAAATTTCAGCTTTAATCTATGTGTTACAACAATTTCACTATTAGTGTAAGCAAATTGAACAAGCATTATACCTGCTAAAGCATTTTCCTTATGGTTGCTGTAGGCTGAGTAATCTTTACCTTCTTGTTCTGCAACCTGCATGTAAATATTTCACATAATATATATGCGGGTGAGGGAGATGAAGTTAAGAAGTGATATGAATTTCATAAGCACGCGCTAAGAAGTGTGTGTATATATATATATACACTTTTATTCGAGTTACTAATGTTCCAAGGAAAGATTATTCTTACAGTTACTTTAACAGTGAACCTAAGTTTTCTTGGCAGTGTAGGGAGAGAAACTTGCAGTTCGTTCTTGGCTGCATCACAATGTTAAAAGGTTACTCAGAGTCCCAGATATAACCTAGAGAGAGAGAGAGAGAGAGAGAGAGAGAGAGAGAGAGAGAGAGAGGGAGAGAATACCTGCAGCTTGTTTGTTCGATGGTAGAAGTTGAGTTTGCAGAGAAGCACAGCTGGGTGTAATTAGCAAAGTGGAGAGAAATAGAATGCAAAGAAAAGTGAAGAATGCCATCTCCATAATACTATCTAAGATTAACCGTAAATACTGATATATATACTTCTTTTGTGGGTATGGCCTGTGATTTATATCAATCAACTGTAGTGGTAGCTGGTCGAGAGAGAGAGAGAGAGATACACAGAGCACAAAACGGAGAGTTCCAATACAAGCAGAGGAACTGTTTTGTCAAATTAACTATGCTTTCCTTTTTAAAAAGGTTTTCACACCATTCGGGTTGGTTTTGTCATGACCTAGTACATACCACTATTCAGTAGGGCCTTTTTCACTTTGTTTCTATTTTCTAACAATCTTATGAGTTTCACACCTCCAAATACTGATGGCGCATGTAAATCCTATTATCGAAGAAACTTATGCATAATAAGAATATTGTTAGGGTGGTGTTTTGAGCCAATTATACAATATCAAAGGCAAGTTTCTTTTCGTATAATATAAGTTTATTCTCGTATAACATTGTATTATTAGTTTGAGATGTTATAGTGAAATCACGAAAGATGCATGTATTTATTTTGCAAAATGATAATACGTCTTTTACCTTCAACCATGACTCAACCCCTTTCTTTCCATTTGGAGAAAGAAATTATTCGATAGTTACATTGTGTGCTTTTCCATTCCATCACTTCCCAACCCCTGCATAGCTCAAAAGGTGAAAGACCACCTCATATGCGTCGATGAATCATTCATTTTGTAGGTCACATTTAAATTCTTTCTGCTTGATGAGCGACCAGCCTAGCAGGATTGAAAACAATAACATGACCAGCTTCAAGACTCAATTTCCCATACCTGCCTTCAATCATCATAAGAAGCTACTACTTTTTTTGCCCTTCTTTTTTACTGGCACAGGCTTGATAGGCCTCTAATTCAGCTTGCTTATGCAAGTATTAGAAGCGCAACAAATGTTTTATAAAAAAAAAAACGCTTGAAAGTGAATCATGTGAAAGCATATTATATGTGCTTCTGTAGGTTTGACATTAAGGGCTGTTTGGTGTTATTTTTAGAAGATTAAAAGCATTTTTTAATAATAAAAAAACACCATGAATGCGTTAGGGAAAAAATCTCAAAAGTGCTTCAAGCTAATAAACGCACTTTTTGGAGATACACATATCAGATGTATTTTCAAAAATCATTTCCAAGTGCTTTTATAATAAGCACTTAGATTTTTAACAAAGATTTCAATGTATTATAATAAAAGCACTTATGTCGGACATTATTGCTTTCTAGATAAGCAATCTCAAATGAACACTAAATAGGGTGGGATTTGAATAATTTTTGGGCCAGACTTTATAAGCAAACCAACACGTACCGATAAGCCATCCAAAATGGGTAAAAAATGGAAAAGAAAGATAAACGAACAAAATAATGGAACTTTTCGTTAAAGTTTATCGTACTTTTAATTTTAATAAAAAACCATATTTTTACATTAAAAATTCAATCTTGGTACCATTCACTTTACCTTTTATATTTTCATTTTCTTTAAAACTCAAAGTTTTCAAACTTTTTTTCATTAGTTTTCCCATGAAATAAATCATTGCTTCCACGGTTACACCTTATAGCGCACGCATAACAAAAAGCATGGCACTCCTGTAAACCTACTGCAAATTATACTCCAAGCGGCAGAAAACATGTTGTATGTATTGACGATGATAATATAAAAGATGTGATATAAATATGATTGAGCATTTACTCTGGCTTAAGAAAAATGATGGAGCATTTACTCTGGCTTAAATTAATTACAGCATTTGGAGAGTATCAGAATCTACAGCAAAGAAAACAACCCCTCCAACCCCTATGTTTACGCAAATGCCTCCTGTCAGCTTTCGCCATTCTAACCGGACTGCTGTTCCACTCGGACTGTAATCTGCATGCCAAAGAGGGAATATGAATGTGGTGTCAGTTGTGTGTTCCAGGAACTTGATAGTGGTTAGAGAAACAAAAGAGAGGAAGGGGTTAGAGAGGTTACTCACACGGGGAAGGCAAAAGAGCGGGTGCTGGTGGTGCTGCTTTCTGATCGAAGGGAGACATTGCCAGAATAGGGACCTGAGGCTATGAAATTCGAGAAATGACCAGCAGCTGAGAAACTCGACTCTCCTAGACCGCGCTGAAATTGGAGTGGAGCATTCTGTGTATCAGCATTCACATCTTCCCCCATGTATTGATATGAAGTTTCAGGAGCTAACCAATGTTGAACCTGGCTTGAAACGACTTTGGAATAAGAGATGTCATCAACCTTGGATGTATTTGAAGTTTCGGGACATTGACAGATGCCATTCTCAGGGCACTCATCTCTGGCAATAGTTGGAGAAGCTGAACAATGTTGAACTTGGCTCCAAACAATCTTTGAATCAGAAATGTCATCATCAACCTTGGCCGTATCTAAAATATCGAGATTTTGACAGACACCAATTTCAGGACACTCCTCATTTCCAGTAGCCACAGGTGGTAAACAATGTTGAACATGGCTTGAAACAAGCATTGAATCAGAAATGTCATCATCAACATTGGACGTATTTCTAGTATCGAGATGTACACCATTCTCAGGACACTCTTCTCTTCCAGTAACCATGGGTGCTAAACACTGTTGAACTTGGCTGGGCACGACCTCTGAATCAGAGATATTGTCATTTTTGACATCATGACCATCATCATGTAAAGGCATATCGCAGACACCAATTTGAGGACGCGCATCTGCGGTAATGGATACATGTGCTGAAGCATCGAAACCAGAAATAATGTTTCTGTTCTCTGCCTTTCTATCACCAAGAAGGCACTGTGATTCCTCAGCTGCAGAAACCAATACTTCCTTCTCAACATGGTTAGACCCTTCAGTTTCTGAAACCAAAGTAGGGCTCTCGGTCTTTGCTATTTCACTTGAAACCTGCATTGAAACCACAGGAAACCACATCAAATTCCTACTTTCTTGTCTATAGCTTATATGCACAAGTATACTTTTCCTAAACATGAAGCTGAGAGTCTAACTTCCACTGAGAATTTTTTTGGTTGCTCGTAGCAAGTAAAACTGTCAGTAACGCTGCATAATTGCAGCAAAAACATAGGTCATCGTTGCAACAACCACTTAACGCACACAAATGGAAATTTGCAAAAGCAGTTATCTTTTTCATTATTTATCCTATGAAGAATAATCTTTTACGCACAAACTAGTTTCCACTCTTAGTGTTGCAGACATTAAAATATGCAACAATACAAACTTGGAGTTAGAGATATACCTGAACAGTCTCTTGTTTGGCTTCATTACTGTCCTTATTAGAAGACTTAGACTGGGGGTTCCCTTCACCCAACTCTTGCACTGCCAGCACATTTGCAGGGGACGAAATTTCTTTGGACACGTCAATTGCGATCTTCTCCGAATTTATAGCATCGCCTCTCTCCATCAGATCCTTGGAATTGCGAGGAATGGAAAATACCTTCTCTAAATCATTATTTGTAATAGATTTAAAGCCGTCAGGAATGGTCGTAACGATGTCCAATTGTTCTTCAAGCATTTGCTTATTCTGATCCTCATCAGGAGATAAATAGGTGCAGCATGCCTCCTCATCCATGCCAGTTTCAACCCAGTTCTTGTCTTGGGAAGGCATTCCCTCATCAATACATATGTCCTTAATTGTATTACAACTGCTGTCTTTGTAACAAACTATCAATTCTGGAAGCTCACATTCTGTAACACTTTTGTCCATAAAATAATCCGATTCCTTCTCTAATGCTTCAAAATTTTCAGAAGAACGAGCATATGGTGACCCAAAACCTTTTACTGCTGCGTCTTCATTACTATTTTCCAAGTCATCCAGAATCTTTGAGCAGTCAAAATTTGATACAGAAAAGCCATTTCTCATACAAGGTACTTGACCAGCATCTTCTTCATTGACCTCTGAACCACACGAAACCCTGTTCTGACTTTCCTTCATGGTCCAATTTATTGACTGTAATCCCGCGGTGTCCAAAGTAATGTCATTGCAATTAAAAGGATTAGAATCAGGCTTGTGGCTTATAGATAAGTGGCCAAACACTGGTTCTCTCTCTGCAAGACATCAAAGCAAACCATCAGTGCCAGAGAAACCTGAGCATTATGGCATTCATTTTCTACCTACTAAGAACACATTGCAGATGAGTATTATATAACTCTGAAACTACGTCATGAAAAGCTGAAATAGAGGCACAATCGAGAAAATAGCCCTACGCAACGTAACATAAGATATCAAGATAAAACTACACAGAACACTACAAAAGTTCATAAATAAGATGTCTGCTGCACCTGCAAGAGTTCAATAACAAAGTGGTCAAAACCGAAATGAAAAATAACCAGTGATTACCAAGTTTCATGGATTACATAGATTGAGGAAAGCTGGAGAAAGCTTCAAAGCTACGGCTACGGATACTTTCAAGCATGGACCCTGCCCATCCAAATGCAATTTACAGAGGTTAGCAAAAAAATTCAATGCAATCCCGCTTTGAAAAAATTTATAACAGGGAAGCTAAACAGAAGCAAGGATGCTCAAGTTATAGAAATAAAACGCGAAGAGGGTGGTTTGGAAGTGAGGTGCTTAAAAAAAAAGCACCCATGAAAAAAAGCTGTGAGGGTTTTAGGTGTTTGGTAAACTGAAAAAAAAAAGGCTTATTTTGGAAGCTGCTGTGAGAATAAGCTGAAGCTGCTATTTGCAGCTTTGGAAAACTAGCTTTTTTTCATAGCATATGGAGCTACAGTGCTTCTTTAATGAAAATACCCACTACAGACTACTTTTTTTTCCAAAAGCACTTTTACAAAAAAATTTACCAAACACTCTGCTGATTTATTTCACAGCCGCTTATTATTCTCACAGCAGTTTTTTTTCAAAGCCCAGCAATACCAAACCAGCCCACAATCTCAAGACTCGGCGCAAAATCTGAAAGATGTGTCAAAGCGTAAATGAACCAATGTAAACAAGATGTTGGAGAAAAACAGGAGAGTCAACAAAAACTGTTAAATACTTGAAGAGAATCCCCAACTTATCAGGAAAATAAAATTGAAAGGGCTGCTAAACAACTCACTTCAATAATTAATAGCCAGAAGTTTCCCACAACTACCTCTTTTTCTATACATTATTAAGGAAGGAATGGATTGATTAATGGTGGATTACAAGATAGCAGCCCTAAAACCAACCTAAAGAAACAAAAGAAAATTATCACAGCAGGCCCTCATGTGTAAACAAACATTACCCCATTAAGTGGGGTCGGCTGTATAAATCCTATAAAATCATTGTACTCGGTTTTGTGCGTCTTTCGGTAACTCCAACTATTCAATATCTTTTCTTAAATCTCTTTCTAAGTCTTCCTACGTCTTTCTCATGTGTAAACAAAAACGAAAAATACAAATGCCACCCATCGAGTTTTTCATCACAGATAGGATAAAATAAAAAACAATACACACATATATATATATATATATATTCATAGGAAAACAAAAAAGAGTATCAGAAATAGTAAAGCTAAACGTGAAGCCAAAAACGAGGGAGACAGAAATTGATACTCAAAAAACTTTGGTAGACACCATGGAGCCCTAAAGTCAGTTCTCATCCTACAAAAAGACAAAGGGTAAAATGTCCCAACATTTTGAGACCCCAACAAAAAGTTACGAACTTTCAACAGCTAAAAAATGAATATTAAAATCAAAAGTCTTAAGAGACCCTTCCTTTAAAGATTCTCAGTTCTCAACCCACCCATTTGTCAGGCAACACGCTCATCAGATCCAACTGGTTGGAATCCAAGGAAAAGAAAACAAAACCCCAGACTACGAAATCTACAGAAAACCCCAGATGGGCAAATTTGTAAAGAAAAAAAACCCAAAAAACAAAAGTTGGGGGAATAAGAAAGATCCAAATCAGATCCCAGAAGATAAAAAATTATAAGAAAGTCAGTACCCTTTCAATCTGGCAGTACAGAAACCAGCAGCTTTCTCTTCCTCTCTTCAGAAGCAACTACAACCAGAAGAAAATAACCCCAAATGAAAAAGGATCGGTCCCAAAAATCAAAAAAATTCAATCCAATTGAGAGCAACAAAAACCCATTTCTTATAATTTCAGATCGTAAAAACAGTATTATATTCTGCAGAGAAATTGGCAGAGAGAGAGAGAGAGAATGAACCTTAGCTCCCAGAACAGAGAGAGAAATATTCTGTAGTTGAATTAAAGTTTCAATAAAAATGATTAATCAGAGAGCCAAAAAGGAGTAGGCTTTGGAAGAAAGTTTGATGAGAGAGAGAGGAGTGAGAGGAGAGAGATGAGAGAGAGAGAGTTCAAAGGGGAGTCAAAAATGGTTAAACGGATTTTATTTTATTTTCTTCTTCTTCTCTCCTAATTAATAGGCATTGGTTTCAGCATTTAATATCTCAATTCATTTCACCTCCTCACGTCTTACCTGTCAACCACTTTCCTTTCCGTCACTTTCCCATGAAAATCCCCGCAAAATTTTCCTTCCTTCCAAACAGACCTCACCGCCCCATGATCACGACACCAATCGCCAAACCCCGTGCTGAAAACAAGTAAAGGCCGGAACTTTGAGTCTTTGACTCGCCGGAAACGCTGACGCCGTAAACTTGGGAATGTTAGGCTGTGTGACGGATCAGGGGAGCAGAGAATGCGGAGTCAAACTGCTTCTGCTCTGCTCTGCTCTGCAACCCAATTCGGCAGTCAATGAGCTCCTCTGTTTCTCTCTCTCTCTCTCTGTTTCTTTCTCTCTCTAGAGTCGATAGAATAAGTCCATGATCGCTTCAGGGATCCAAAGTTCTTTTATTTTCTGGAGGTATTTATATAATATACCTCTGTGGGACCCAATTCGTTTCATCCTCTCCACTCTCAAAGTCTCTGTGTTGGCGATCACCAACCGTCAGTTTTCTCTGATTAGACTGCGAGCGACAAATCTGAGCCGTTAAATTGATACGAAATACGGTTTATCCTCACCCAATAAGTCTTCATTGTATGAGTTAAATCTAAGACCTCTTCTAAACAAGTGAAGACAAAATCCTTGACTAGTTGCGTGCAATGTGGGTCGAGTTTCAAAGGGCTCGTTGATATTACTTTTAGAATAACTAAAATTGGTTTCATCAAAAATCACATATAATTGCGTTTAGCAAAAAGAGTTTCATTCAAAAGCAATCTCAATCGAGCCCAAGTTTGGTATTGCCAATGCGGGTTTGCGGTGCAGGGGATTACAACTCTGGGGAGTAATCTGAAAGGGAGCTTTTTACTTTCTGTCATCAACTGTGTTTTGGTTGGCTGCTAGCACACGTGTAGGCGGAATGTGTACTTGCTAATGTGCGCCGGGGGCGGGTGGCGGGTGGCGGGTGGCGGGGGGCGGGAGTGGGAACCGCAAAGCTTTCTTGTTGGTACTCGGCAAGATGGACGGAATTGATGCAAAAAGCAAAGGTGGTGTCATAATGGATTGAATTCCATGCCAAATCGACGGCCATTATTTACCGAAATTGTGTTTGTCTATTTGGTACAATTGATTGTTATTGCATGCTTCACGGGTTCCAAATCATCCCCAAAACTAATTGATCTGGGGTTCATCTTGGCTGGTCCATATCCTTCCAATACATTTTTCAGGATGTTCAGAATACGAAATGGTACACTACATATTCATCTCTCTTATTCCAACCCTACATATTAATGTACAAGTATAAAGACACTTGAAAATTAACTTTCTTTTACATATATAATGATATAAAGTGCAACGCTCTATATTTTAAGCATGTTAAAAAATTTGTTCATCGATACAAATGTTTCGATAATAACAAGTTCAATAACACATTGCCACCAAATATTCTATATAAAATAAAATAGTAATGAGAAGCCAAAAGATTACATAAAAACTGAACCTCTAGGAAAAGTATTTTTTCCAAACCCAACAATTTAATTTTTTTTATTGTATTTGAAATACAAAAACATATGACTTACTATTTTACTTGAACTAAAGCAGTATACATCAACCACGTCATTTGCCTTATCAAAGTACCAATACACACACACACACACACACACACACACACACACGACGTGATTTGGGTTTTAAGTACGTCTGAAAAATGTATCCTTCGAGACCAAAACACAAGCATCAACTGAGCAGCTAGCAAGCAAGCAAGCAAGCAACGTGAAAACGGATCGATGTTTCCTTGAGAATAATAGTCCTAGGACTCTAGTACAACTGCAACTACGAGAGGATATGGATTTGTTGGTGAATCTCCAACTGCACCAATATTGATATTGATATTAATACATTGAACAAGTAGCTACGCTAGCTAGTGAGTTTGTTAGGATACGTGCATGCATGCTGGCATATCTGATAAGGAAGTCAGTCGGTGGATTGATCTCACTAGTTTTTGGCACTGCTCTCAAATCTGGTCAAGCAAATGTATGGATTATAAGATTAATCCTGCATGTTATCTCACGGATTAGAATGATCAAGTAGGTATAGGGTAGGTGACGCCTTCATCCTTTATGAGCATTAAGCAACGAGGTGATGATTTTAAACAATTTTATGACTATATAATAGTGACTCATACTTTTGGCAAATATGATCCTTATATATTGACTTATATATACACAGTTTCAATAATAAGTACGAAATTTTGTGAATCGACTATAAAGAGTTTTGAGTATTTGTATCCTAGTATTGTTCATATATTTCCCATACGGCCCACACTAGCATTGCACATATCATCAGTTAACAGATTTTGTAATGGCAGGTGGTACATAGCTACAAAACACAAAATTTGGGTGGTAAGTTGTAAAATATTGTAATTCAGGTGGTATTTGGCACTATTTGCACATTTTTCTAAAAGTTCTGATAGTATTTACGCAAATTTCTCATTCATATATATATATATATATATATATATATATATATAATATATATATATATTCCCACCCGTTACATGCAATTTCTTCATTATTTATTCAATTATTTAAAAAAAAAAACTGGCCTGGATCGCATCGGATGCATGCATATGTATCAATTTAAAGGGCTTTACATTTAAATATCTCTGCATGTGTATCAGTTTATTATTACATGGGGATTCCAAAACTCTCCTTTTGCTTAACTTCTTTAATTTGTATTTTTTGTTTTGTGAGTTTCTTTGCTTTTTATGTTTTTATTTTTTGTTCTGCATATTGCTTCTTCTATTTTTTTTATTTGTCTCTACTGCATGTGGCCGTATGGGAATCCCAACTGAATTCTCATGAAATATAAATTTATAGGTAGGGATACTATGATGGAAGTAACAGTATCCAATGTGCGTTTGCATTTGCAATATTAAATATTTGGGAGTTCAACTTCTTCTATGTCGTTCTCAAGGAAGGAAACCTAAATAAAATATGACTCATGCATCTTTTTGTTGTCTTCATGCAATGGAGCGTTGGGAGAATATATCTGTGTGTATTTTTATTTTCCTTACCATCTGTTAATATTTTTGCATATTTGCGGATGTGTGTGGTTCTGTCGTCTACCATCATCCAACCATCACCAAGGCTTGCTGCACCACTTCCACGCCGCCGTTCCATCGCCGACAGACTGTAGCGCCATCGCACCGCTTTGCTGAATGTTTCGTCTAACATGGATAAACAAGATTTTCAATACAACAGTTTAATCATTCCAAAGCCCATGATCCATGGATATATCAGTGGGAAGTTTTCTGCAACTCCCCGAGACTAGATTCAGTTTCACCCTTGCAAATAAGTTCGTCTCGTATTATATAATATGACATTTTATATTACAATTGGAAGTGCAGTGGTGTATGTACTCAATGGCAAAGAGAACGCATATTCGATATGGCGGTGCAGCAAGACGGAAGTGGAGCAGCGAGACGCCTGAAGTGGAGCGATGGTGCGACTTGCGACCGCAAAGTTTGGGAACGATGGTGCTGGACTTTTGATCAATTAGGTTTTAAGTGTTCTTATTTTCTTCCTAAAATTGATTAACCCTCAATTACTTTTTATTGAAAAGATGTAATTAAATCCAAGTTGGAATTGAGTAGTTAAATTTTAATGCCATGGCAAACGCTACATGATTTGGTACTCAAATTTGGTGCACAAGATTGATACCCGAAGCAATATTATACAATCTAAAATTGTAAATAGAAAAGCCACACTGAGTCAATTAAACAAATGAACAGGTGGACTGAGTCGACCGACGTTAGCCTCTCTTTTTTAATAATGAAAAAACTTTTCTGGTAGCAGCTGGAGGCTGGAGAGTTCAGTCACCATTCAACGAAAACAAATCACAAGAGAAAAATGGGAGTCGATAGCTTTTAAAGCTTGTACACCTTCATGAATAATATCTCACCATAACTATATGGTTATATAAATGTATATATGTGCATGCAAACCAAATTTTCAAACTTTAGTTTGTTGAAAATGTTCTGTGCTTGGACTAAGAACATGAGATTTGATTTCCACGCCAAACTTAATTAATAAATAATTGTCTTGTAATATAATTAGGGATGACTGAATGATTAATCATAATGTAATCGTTCACATTTAGTCAATCGAAGAATTTATAAACAAGGCAAATCTAAGAGTGAAATTAAATAGGAATTATCTTTAGTTTTTATAACAAACTAGCTAGTTGGAGTTGTTGTCATAATAGGTCATGGCATGCAACCAACCATGCAAATATATTATGAGAATATATAATTTCATACTTACAACTTACAATCACGATCAACTTTTTTCGTCGAAGGAGAACATCAACTACTTATTCTTTTTAGGGAACTTTAACGAAAAGCACCCGATACTGTTCACTTTAACGAAAAACCACATTTTTACACTAAAAAGTCAATCTTGGTACTATTCACTTTACCCTTTATTTTGTCCTTATCATTAAAACTCAAAGTTTTCAAGCCCTTTTCATTAGTTTTCCTTTCTTTTTAATGGTCACACAATTAACTATATTTATGAAAACAGATTGACTTTTTTATATTAGTCATCTCGGTTCTTGTAAACCATACATAATGTGTCAATGAGGGTTTGTTGAGATAGTGAGGATATGGTTCTCTTTGTTAGATCAACGTCTAGATTCGAGTCTCGCTTCTAGTAATCCCTCTTAGTGTGTGATTTGTATTAAAAAAAAAAAAAAAAAAAAAAAACTAAGACCCCATCTATAAGTCCTCAAAAAGACTTGTGATATGTCGTGGCCCTGAAATGGGATAACTTCCCCTCTCCCTAATGATAAATGATGTTAAAAGTCTGTTTGATATAACGTTTAGCTTTTTATTTTTTGTGTTAGTGATATAGGGGTAATACGTACATAGACAAAACGTATAAGTCATACAATAAGAAATGAGTCAGCTACGATTATATATTGAACTCGCATCCATTGAAATCAAAATTGAGATTTTCATTTATAAGTGGCAAGATTATCTTTAAAATTGAAGTATTATGTTTAAGGAAAGATGTATTTATAATTTTATATACATGAAATAATAAGGTACCCCACCTTCAGTTCTTAACAATTCAAATAAGAAAAACAACCACTATTGGCGTTACCTCTACCAACATGACTATATAAGTAGTACTTATTTTTATTTTTTATTATTATATAAAATGAATCCGATTTCATCACAACAATCCTTTTTGAAAGCCGGAGAAACAATATTTCTGCTGTTCCATGAGCAATCATTTCATACCAACTCCCCTACCCAAACAAATTAATTCCACCAAATTAATTAATAAAAATACCTATAATTTGGACCACAAATCTATCAATTCTCTCGTTTTAGTATGAACT